CTTTTTTATTAGTTAAAAAAGTTTCAAAAATCCAATAGATTTCGTTCCACTTCACAATTGTGTCCCACTTGTTGGTGATTCTTCACATAAAATAAAAAAATTATATCTTTATGTTTGAAGCCTGAAATGTGGCAAAAGGTTGAAAAGTTCAAGGGGGCCGAATACTTTCGCAAGGCACTGTAAATCATGTATTCTATGTCATTAGTCATTATTCATGATATTGATAGATATTTAATGAAAGTGGTTCTTTTGATGCTTAGTATAATAAACACTGAGCTAACAATCTAAACTTCATTCTTGAATGAGTGGCACTCAAGGTGTAAAGGGACTTCAGGCCAGCCACAGTAGTGCAAAGTGAAGTGCAGATGTGTTTAGGCCCCATCCATGTTATTACAGCTTCATCCAATTCAGGGTCGAGGTAGAGCTGGAGCCTGTATCTGCAAGAAATGGGCTCAAGGCAGGGTACACCCTGGACAGGACTCCAGTCCATCGCAGGGCACATTCACACTCACAGCCACATGTAGGGCATATTTCCCTAGAAGCCAGTTACCCTACCAGCATGCTTTTGGACTGTGGGAGGAACCCGGAGGGAACCCACGTGAGCACAGGGATAAGGTGCAAACTCCATGCCGATAGCACCCCGGGTCCGGGTGTGCACAGGCAGTGATGATTAAATATCCTCAATATTGCACTTGGCTGTAGCCACCTGAATTGGTCTGGACTCATCTTGCCATGAGTCAGTGACTTGCCTGTGCACCATTGTTTCTCTTCTTACCTGCCAAATGTATCACTTTGTGACACTGCTTCATGTAATGAAGCATTTTAAGAAGCAGCTCTTTAATTAAATATTCTGAAGGAAGAATGGAAGAAAAGCATAATGTTTATTGACTAATGCAGAACAACAGTACATGTGAACTAGGGAAAACGGCTCTTGAAACGTTTTGTCTAAGACTTGCATTCTAAATGGCATGTGTTGTCTTCTCCCTTAGACAAAGAGAGAAGGTACTTGGTGAACATGACTATTCCAAGTCCAGTTTTGCCATGACCTGCCTGTTGCTGAAGCCGGTAAGTGCTGTCATTGTGCTCTTGATTTGCTTAGAAGCAGCTCTTGAAACCAGGCATACGTTTTGTGTTTTTGGTTTTAGAAATAGCAGGACCCCCAAAAGTTATATTGCTATTAAGAAATAATTGAAGGTGAAGAAATTAGCATTACTGCTATTAAATAGAATTTTATGGTGTATCTATATTGAGATGAGGTTGTGTTCTGCCATCCAGTCAGACCATGGCAATATGCATTATTTATGGGAAATAATTGAAAAGAAATGACGCATAAAGTGGTTTTGTAGCCACGTGTTTATTGCTATTAGTGTAATGTTTTGAAGTTTTCACTTATTTAAGAGGAAACAATGTTTCCTTGGGTGAGGGCATGAGGACTCTTTCAGCTTGGGAACAAGCAGGTATGACATGGAGGTCATTGGCTTCATTTCACCCTGTTTACTTTTGCCTCTCAAGGTGCAGAAAGTGTTGAGCAGCCCACCCCTGAAGCTTGATTCACCACGAAGAGAAGCAAAGTGTTTCCCAAGACCTTTTAAGCCAGGTAAGACATTAGTTTTTTTGCTGTAACTGTGTGGAATAATGTCGGTATAGTCTTCCTGGGCTGGAAGTTCTCGGTTTGGTTCTGTCGAAAAAGAAACCTGTAGCTCCTATAGAATCACAAAGCTCTTTCCAGACTGATTGTGCAGTTTGTTTGGCAAAAGAGAGAGGCCTCTGTGACAGCTGTCATCCTGCTATATTGTTCACACGTGTCTGAGGGATTTCCGTGTTGAACCTGGTCAGATTTGAAGTGCTTTTGGCTATGGTGGCACATTTCTTGCCTAGCTTTTATGTGCATTTCCAAACAGCCTGCATGTTAACAGTTGAGGACTACAGACTCATTTTAAGTGTTTAAGGAAAAGAACTTTGTGCTTGCCCAGAGTTTTACCTGTGATGAGAAATGTATGTTGTTGGAAATTAACTGTGCAGTCTTTCACCTTGCTATTTTTTTTTAATGAATGGGGCTTTTTGAAATCAAAGTGTTGAGTTGCCTGGCGTCTCAATCTCGGCTGGTGAAAAAGCCAATTGTTGACAAGTATGCAAAATAATTTGACTATCAGGTTTAAGATTTTTATTACTCTTCTTCCCTCTTTTGTCAAGTATGTAGTCAACAGGCGTTTTTCACTTCAATGCTGTGTGAAAGGGGGAAATTTTCTCACACGCTGTCTTTGAGGTGTCACTAATGTTGATCTTTTTCATGTTTCGTTTCAGACCGTGTCAAAGACTCAAGGAGCCTTGTTGCCAGGGGGAACACACCGGAGTCTGTCTTTGGTGCTTTAATAAACAAAAGTGCTTCACTTCCTTATGGTGTTATGGATGTCTTATTTCAATTGCCGCTTCTCTGCTTTGTTCCAGGTCTGCCCTCTGGTGGTAGTGGGGTGGGGCTAGGTATGGCTCCTCCCCAAACAGGGAGATAGCCAAAATTTGGGCCCGTTCCTGGGGGAAACAGGTGGGGAGTAGCTAGGAGGGCAGAGGG